AATTAATTAATTAATATGCTTGCACGATGTATAAATTGTATATATATATATATATATATATATATGTGCGTGTGTCGGTACTTGATCAGTCTAAATAAATTGATATACTTAATTAGGGATTACAACGAATCAGATTGGATCGGGTTTTTAATCAACCTGATTCGATCCGACAAATATGTATCTTTCACTCAAATCTAATCGGACTTGAAAATTACATATTATTCATCCGACCTGACTCGACCCGATTCGAATTTTTAGAGTATAATTCTGACCCGACTTAATATAAATAAGGACTTAATTAAAATAATAATAATCTTTTAAAGAATTTACATTATTATTTCTGGGTCTGGTCGGAGTTTTTCCATGATCCACTCAAACCTGATCTCACTCCCTAAAAAATTTCGACCCGACCCAGCCTGAACCCAAAACTTTTTTTAAAAAGTCCAACCCTATTATTCGGATCCAATTTCGGGTTAAATTACCGACCTATTATGCTCATTGGCTTAGAGGTTTCTCAACATGCGTATTGCAATCAACTTGGATTTGCTTGTCGTGGCTTCAACGTTTGATCGGTTAGGAGTGGGGTTCTTATTGTAGGTCTTATTAAACTCATATAATTTATACATATACACATCAGGTTTTGTTAAGCTCTTACAATTTATGCATCTCATCAGTACGTGTTCTTACTGTTTCTCTTGGTGCCAGTTCCACAGCGGGGTTATCGTTCAGGGTTCGTTTGGTTTAGGGTTTAGGGTTCTTATAAATAGTAGTGTAACAAACCCTGAACCAGGGGTGTGAATGAAAAGCTTTAACCATGATATGTTGTTCTTTGTTTTAACGATCTGTTTCTTTCAAAGATAGCTTTGACTACGGCGTTGCTTTCAAATTGTGGTTTCTGCATGCATGGATAGCATGTTTGAATGTCTGTCTTTGCATGAGTTTCTTAAGGGGAATATCAGTTGTTTACGTGTTTCATTGGCAATATAGATTAGAAAAGGACAATATTATAAATTGAACGTTAACTTGTTTATTGTGATATGATAGAATCTGATCTCAAAATCTCAAACAACTATCATATCTCAATCATCGTGTTAACATCCGATTTAAACGATCGCTAATTTTTTTTACAAAAAAAAGACGAGTTTGAAACATAATGAATAGTCTGCTAATCATTTTGTAACTTTTAACAGTTGATGAACTCAACAAAGTAACACTTTATATTCGAAAGACAATTTTATAACTTTTAATAGTCGAGAGATTTAATAAGATAACACTCTATAACAGGGAGATTATTTACGTTCTTTACCCTAAATTTAATTAATTAATAGAATACCTACCTTAATATAAGATATATAATGCGAATTTCACTTTATCATGCACTATTCCTCAAATAAGTACAACCGTCAATATGTAATTTGTTTCATATTGTTAATTTTACGAAACTACCACTTCCAAGGACCCTACAAGAGACGTGATAAAATCTAGAGAAATGTAATTTCTTCAACCGTTAAACAATGCCGAAGTTTGAAAATGGCACCCATCACTACCATCTTCCTCTTCTTCCTCGACGCTTTCGCTTTCCTTTTCAGCCCTGCTTCATCATACGCCTTTTCTTCTCTGAACCCGCCATGGCCGGCGACGTCGAGGCCTGAATTCTATTTCTTCCGTTCTGATTCGTCGTCTTATCCGCCTTTGTAAACCCGAAATCCGATTTCACGAGAGGTAATTCAACCTTCTATGGTTAACTCAGAGTTGGGATTAGGGTTTCAGGCTCTTAGTTTTACAGATCAACCAATGAATATCGATATTTCAAATGTAGAAGTTTTGTGTTAGTTTGGTGAATGATCCATCTTTTTTTCTTTTATCCGAGTATTGATACACCATTGATGCATACGTCATTATATCATTTTATCTAAGAATTTGTAATATACTTCAGATATCCAAACTTATTATTCATTTTAATATATTATATTTAGATATTTAACGAATTCAAATATCCAACAAATAATTTAATTAATATAGATTTTGATAATATTACTCAGATTTAATGTAAATAATAAACGATTTTAGAATATATCAAGTGACTTTAGTGATTAAAAAAAGTGTTGTAAATCCAATATTTTTGTTAAACTAATGATATATAAACCTATTGATGCAATAAAGCTGCCTTGGGAGAAAATATGATATGCAACAAGGGCAAGAGATGGAACTTTTCAAACATACAAGGAGGAAAGAAAAATCTACCTTAATGATACATATTCGGGACAAAGAATTTGTAGGCTGATCTTGTTATGATTAATTGTTAACAACATACGAAACGAGCACGATTGCGATGCACCAGCCGCTAGACCGATCCCGACTGAAGGTTTGAACGGCAGAGTGATCACCGTCCGGTAAGCTTAACAACCCATGCACCACCTAAGTAAAGACCCAAAAGTGGAGTTGCCAGAAGCATCTGAGTAAGAGGATCTGTTGATGGTGTCAATACAGCTGCTGCAATGACTGCACCAACCACTACATATCTCCAAATGGAAAGCATCTGGTCCCCCGACACAAGGCCGAGTTGTCCAAGAAGAAATTGTATGACAGGAACCTGCAGGGCAAATCAAATGGAGCCATCTAAGCTTCGAGGTAAAGGGCTGTTCTCAGCATGAGACGGTAACAGTTTAGGTTCCCCTAAAAACGTGGTTGCACTTGCAGAAATCTAAAAGCTTTTATTTTTTAAGTCTTACATTGCTAAGAGAATCATCAGACAGAGATCTTATGGCGGGGAAAAAGGAAGATGTGAACTTCAGAACATAGAAATATGCATGGTGAGGCTAATTTCTAGCCATGCGTTACCCCAAGAAAAGTAGGAAATACCTGGAAAGACAAGCCTGTGCTGAACATGAGCACTAGTACAAACTCGAAGTACTGATCGATAGACCACAAAGATTCTACAACCCCTTCGGCGTAAGTAACAAAGAAATTTAAGGCTGCTGGAGTCAGAACCGAGTAGGAAAAAGCAAGACCGGCATAGAAAAGAACCGAGGAGCCCAACACAATAGGCCCCAGAAACCTTCTCTCTGCCCTGGTCAAACCTGGAAGAACAAAGGCTATGATCTCATACAGAATTACAGGGCTTCCCAAAAGAAGGCCACAATATCCCGACACCTGCCGAACACCATGAACTAAATCAATTTTTGTGAGTTTGTTATCTAATCAAAGTTGCAAATATTAATACAGCAAGCCAGCTGCAGGTTAAACTTAATCAGGGAGGATAGGATTAAACTGTACCAGCAATGTTACATTCTTCCAGGTATAACACTGTACAGCAATTAACTCTCAACTTAACCCAAACTTATATGATAGGCTGGTAGAACATCATACCAAAGGTATCTCCTATGGTGCTGTACTACTTGGTTCCAAAAACAAAAATATGAACATGAAATAGGAGATACATTTCAAAGAAATCATTCAATCTAACCTTTAACGTTGTGAAGAAAAACTCGCCAGGAGCTAGTTGCAGAAATCGTACACCCTGTGCTTTAACAGGACCTTCAAGAAATACAATCAGTTCTTTTGAAAATGCAAAGCACCCCAACATAGCAGCTCCAACAGCCAATACAGACACAAATATCCTCTGTCGTAACTCTTCGAGATGATCAAATATAGTCATTTCTTTATCATCTGGGAGAAGATCTTTATCGGGATAAAGAAAATTATAAAACGCACTTTCGTCATTATCCTGCTCAGACCCTTGTGGTGTTTCTTCTGCTGAGATAGTAGCCATATCTAATCATAATCAAATAAATGATGTCAACATTTTACGTAGAAGCATGAAATTCTATTGAGATTTTGAGAGTATTATCATCGAGAACTAGATTAAGAAGATGAAATAATAGCAAAACAATCCAAAAGATGCAGCTCATGTGCTTCTAATGATATGAAATCAGATATATAAGCATCTAAAGTATGTGTAAAATATCTAACTTGATCCCAAACATTCATTTTTATGTAAACAGGAATCAAAGTAAACTTTCATTTCAAAATCGGGAAAAAATAATTGCTATTCACGCTTTGGATTTGTTTTATAGCAAATTTTTAACGTCATAAAAAATAATGAAAATAATAATCAACAAGAGGAAAAATGAAACTAAACTTTAAATCACGAAGAGCAAGCAATTAGAATTTTTAAAAAAAAATAGATTCGATTTGATTGATACCGGGTCTATCTTCGGTGGCAGAGGCGCTGCTGGTTTTACTGAAGGCTTGTTGCCGGTTTTCTTTGACATCGTCATCAACGGCAGCCAAACAAACTACTGTACCAAAACCTCTCCAGCTCCGCGAAGGACCGAATTCCAGCCTCCCTGTCCTTGAATGCCTGAATTTGAGAGAGGTGAACTCGAGCTGAGTCTTGGTTGGCTCAACGAGCTTGAAGCAGCTTCTGTTGAACCGCAAATGGGAGATTAGAACAGCGCTGGTGCTTGCCATCGTCTGCTTTTTCTTTGGGTTTTATTTATTTATTTATTTGGCCAATGCCTATTTTTCTCCTCCTTAATTGGTAGATTTTTTTTCGTGTAATTTCCAACTTGCTACCCCTGCCATACACAATAAATTGTGTATATATATATATATATATATATATATGGGTAAAGTACATAAATAGTCCATTGACTATAAGTAAATGTTTTATTAAGTGTCTCGATTATTAAAAGTTATAAAATGGTCCTTCAAAGTGTTGCTTTATTGAGTTCATCGACTCTTAAAAGTTACAAAATAGTCACTCGTATATTCATTATGTTCCAATCTAATCCTTTTCCTTTAAAAAATTAGCGAACATATGAACTAAACGTTAACATGATGACTGAGATATGATAGTTGTTTGAGATTCTAAGATCAAATTTTATCATATCATTAGGGATGGATATTTAACCTGAATCTGACGGGTTTTGACCCGACCCGACTCGATAAAGTCAGATTTAAAAAAATCGAGTTCGGGTCAGATTTTTAAGGTGTTAGGTCGGGTCGAGTTCAAATGGAGGGTGAAAAACTCCAGCTCGACCTGACCTGAGGATAATAATATAATTTCTTAAAAATTATTATTTTTTTAATTAAATTCTTAATTTATACTGGGTCGAATGTATGATATAAAATTTTTGGGACGGGTGAGGATCGGGTGGAGGATACCTATTTTCAAGTTGGGTCGGGTTGACCAAAAACCCGACCTGTTGCCATCCCTACATATCATAGTAATATGTTAAAGTTTAGCTCAAAATAACGTTAATTTTTAACATAAAATTACCAGTTTGAAACATAATTAATAGTTAAGTGATCATTTTGTAACTTTTAATAATCAATAAATTCAACAAAATAACGTTTTATATTCGGATGACCATTTTATAACTTTTAATATTCGAAAACTTAATAAAATAATATCTTATAGTTGAATGATCATTTGTGTACTTTACACTATATATATACATTGTTTTTCTAGATTTTTATAAATTTACATATTTATAATTATATTAATAAAATTGATGATATCATCTTCCATTGAAGATTGAATACCTCGTTAATATACTCAAAATCAATGCAACTAAATAACTTGATTAAATTTCAATTGAAAATTCAAGGTAAAGAGTATAAGAGCATGGTTTTCAGAACCGGATCGGTTAGCGAATCGGTCATGCTATCGATTTATTGGTTTAATCGGTCGAACCGATCCGACCGGTCGGAAGAACCGAACGATGTCATAATTATTTAAAAAATTAAATAAAAATACTAAAAATATTTAATAAAAAATAATTTTTTATATAACAAGTTATATTCAAAGCAAGTTATAACATATATAAGTTAAAAACCATAAAATCAAGTGAAACAAAATGATTCAAATTAACTACAACATAATAATTAAGGTAAAACATAATAAATAATAAATATAATTATATAACTATAATTAAAAAATAAATTTAGGGCTAAAAAAATCATAACAAAATAATATTGTTTGGTTTAATTTTTTTTTAAAAATAATCCCACATGGCTAAGAAACATAGAAGAGTATCCCAAAAGTCTAAATAGTAAAAATATGATAACAAAACAATCTCACATGGCTAAGAAACATAGAAGAACATCCCAACTAACTTCTATAAATAATATATGTAATTTGACATTCAAAATCATGGAGCCTTTTGGTGAACACTGAGTGAATTATTCTCTCACTTCAATCAATCTCGAATTTTAGGCTTCAATCGAGCTTCTAATTTTTTTTTGAGTTCAAGCCTTTTCGAGTTCAAGTTTCAATATTATATTTCGAGTTTGAGTTGAACTTGATAAATTTTAGCTCGTGAGTTTGAGTCGAGTTGAGCTTACTTTTAAAGTTTTCAAGTTCGAGTCGAGCTCAGCAATACTCGAGTTCGACTTGGCTCGTTTAACAAACGACGTCGTTTGATTTAATTTAAAAAAAAACAAAATTGGCGGTTTTCTCGGTTTTTTCCGATTTTTAGCCGGTCCGGTTTGAACGGTTCAGCGGTTCTGACCGGTTCACTAATAGCGGTTCTGACCGGTTCACTAATAACGGTTCAACCGGTGTAGATTGGACCGGACTAGACAGCGATTCCCGATTGAACCGGCCGGTCCGGTTTTCAAAACAATGTATAAGAGGTCTCTTTACTTTTGAGAAGAAATTAACGTATCCTTCGTTTTTTTTTTCTGCCATTTAATCAATGTTTTTGTTCATTTGATCATAAAAAATGTTGATGTGGCAGTTCACGATACTGATGTGACAGTTTATTTGACATGTTTAAGTTACCAATTTAGTGTATCTATCATGTTATTGATCACGTTATCAACTACAGTGGATTGCCACGTCAACACTATGGACCGCCACATTAGTACCACAATCTGTCACATCAGCACCGTAACAGTCAACGACAAAAAAAGTTGGTCAAAGGGCCACATTAAATTTATTTTATGAGTTAGAGGATCACATTAAGAGAAAAATAATGCGATGATCACATTGATTTTTTTAAGTACATGGACCTCTAATGTCTTTTTTGTCAAAATTCAATTAAGAGCAGAGGATTTAATTGATTTTTGGATAAACTACGCATTTAGCATTGAAACTATAACTTTTATCTGTTTTAGTACCTAAATTTTTAATTTTTTCAAAACCATACATAATGTTTAGTTTTTGTTTTATTTTAGTACCCCGATGTTAAAAACTTAACACGTTTAGTACCTAAACTATCAATTTTAACCCATTTTAGTACCTAAACTTTCATTTTTTTCCAAAAAATAACGTTAAATTTTGAACATGTGTACTAAAATGAAATAAAAACTAAAATTTAGGTATGATTTTGAAAAAATTAAAAGTTTGGGTATTAAAATAGATCAAAACTAATAGTTTAGATACTAAATACATAATTAACCCTTGATTTAAAAAAAAAAGAAGCTTAATGGTCACTTTTGCCCTTATAGTATACATACTTTATCATTTTCACTCATATCGTATTTTCGTATCAATTTAACCATTTGAGTTGTTCAATTACATCATTCTATACCCTAACCCTACTTAAAATATTAAATTCTAAACCCTATAACCTAAATTATAGCCCTCTAAGATATAATCTATAAACTCTGTTGAATAAGATTTTGATATAACAATAAATTGCAAAATTTGGTTTTGGACTTAATTGAATTTATGAAAAATAATTCAAAGTCCAAATTAACTTGAAAATATGTTTTAAATATTTTCCAACTTATTCGAACTTTTTTCAAAAATATATTCTATCGTTTTCGCGCTTTAAAGTCGAGTTTTCAAGTATTTTTTGTTCAAATGATCAATCCCCTTGAAAAAAGATCAATCCATTGTATTTCATAAACTTTTGGATCGATCCCTTCACCAAAAGGATTGATCCCTCGATGAAAAGTATTAATCCCTTTCACCAAATGATCGATCCTTTGTGCAATAATTGTTGTTTTTTTTATTATAGGTAATAATTATAATGATCTCTAACGGCTCCAAACGGCTAGAATTAATAGAAAATATATAAATTAAATGTCAAAGTTTCACAAGGTCGACAAGAATCATATTGAATCAATCTACCAACATCAAAGTTTTGTTTTATGCTTTATTTTTCAAATTCTTTGTTGTAAACACTCTTGCGTATAATTATTCATTTTGCTCAAGTGCGTATTGGGTGAGTGTTTAATTTGTGCAAACATATTTATCTTGTGAGATTTTCTCTTTGTTTGCTTTATTTGTAAGTCATCTTGTGGAAAGTGTGTAAGTAAGGATTTGGGGTATAATCCTTGTGTGTCATTGTAAGGTTACACATTGTCCTCAAAGGTTAGCAGATCTAGTGGATTTGAGAAATTCTTAGTATGAATGCTAGGTAGTAGATGTAAACTTTAATTTATAAAATCGAATCACTCTAAATTATTGTGCAAAAAATTTATTTTTCGATCGTTTCCCCAAATTTCTTAAAATATCAATTCACCTCTCTTGGCTTATTTTGATTGTTCATAAGAACTAACAAATTTTAAACCCTAAACACCAAATTAAAACCTTAAATAATATTTTAAACAATAATACAATTAAATAAATTTGAAAATTATATTAATACAAAAATACGTTAACAAAAATAATAAATTAAGAGTACTATAAAGACAAAAGTCACAATAAAATCAAACTTATTTTAACAAGAAGCAAATAAAGAACAATAGGGACAAAATAGTATATGAATGTCCCCCGGTTATTAGACGAATCGGACGTCTTATATTGAAATGAGCATACAAGATCAACCGCACTGAAAAAAATTCCAGTGACAGCACCACATTCCTCTCGAGTCTCGACGACCTCCGTTCGTCTCTTTTCCTTTTTCTTCTACGTTCAGATTCTCTCTTTGGGAAGCCCTAAAATTTCCCAACTAGAGTTTTACTCTTAAAACGCTGACTTTTAATTTGCATTTCGATTTCTAAAAAACCCCGGCTAATTTGTAGTCATTTAGGTGTTTTAGGGTTCCTGCGCTTACACGCTTTTTATTTGAAAAGGCTATGTTAAGCATCATTTTTGTTCACCTTTCAGAAGTCATTACCGAAAGAACCGATTAATCGATCTTTAACTTGTCTAGGGTTTCTTCATGGCAGAACCTTCGCGTGGTCGTGTTACTATTACTCTCGGTCGTACTGGTCAGGTATTTGTTTCACTTTAATTCCCTCTTAATGTTTTTTCTTTCTTTTTCGTAATTTTTGGTGATGATGTTCAAGTATATTTGTTTGTTTGCTAGTAAAATTTGTGAAATAAGCTTGAAACTAGTAAGATTTTATCCTTTGAGCATAAATTGTATCCAGATTGGCTTCAAATGATTTAGCATATCATGGTAGGTTTTTCCTTCTTCCTCATTGAAGTATTTAAGCTTGTTATTAAAAAAATGCCGGTGTAGTTCCCCTATTTTTTTTGGTCTGGTTTGTTGAACTTTACTGATTATGTTGATGTAGGTGGTGAAGAGGGCTGGACCTGCTTCCGGTGGTGATTTTTCTGATTCTCATCCTGTTTCTGGAAGTAAGCGGTCTGTAAGGGATAGGTTGGGGGGCAACGGAGATAGTTCTTTGTTGCACGGGAGACAGCTGAATAACAAACGGTATGCTTTTAAGAATTTTTCTGTTGGTTTATCAGCATTTCTATATCTTGCTTTGCTATGTTGGATTGGTGCTTGTGCAAAAGTATTTTCTTGTATTTCCTTGTGGAAGATAATAAGACTGTTGTATTCATGTCATATGGAGCTTGCAAATTAGACTGTTAGTTTAGGGGGGTTTTCAACTGGAACAATATGTTCCGTTACATGGGTTGCCCGGACTTGAGATTGGCTATTAGACGTTACGTTAATATGTTAATTTTTTTCTTCAATATTATTTGCATATTTGGAGTTCAGGACTGCATCCTGTTTCCATGTCGACTGTTGGATATTTGTTTGACGAGGATTCTGTAAGAAAAATAAATTGTCGCAGCCCACATAGGCCACGAGAAGTAATACATTGCCCTGCCTTTGGCATTTATTTCTATGTTTGTAAACTTTCACCTTATTAGTTTATCAATGAATTACTTGTATAAAAAGATATTGTGCTGGTTTGCCTTTTCGACAGACAAAGAGGTGATGGCTATACTTCAAGCTTGAATGCCAATGGCTTGAATGGTAACAAACTTTTTCCCGTGTTGCAAAATCTTTGTTTTCCTGTTCTATGAATTGTTTATGCAATTACTAATGTCACTTCATTCTTGTGTGGAAAAAAGCTGTTCACATTGGTAAAAATGACCTTCGATTTAAACTCATGCAAAAGAATGTGCTTAACCAAGCTCGGAGTGATGAAAACCAGAAGGATATGGATCTTCGTGAAAAGTTGTCAAGAATGGGACAGCCTTATGAGAAACATCAAATGCCTGATTCTAGGGAGCGAATTCCTGAACTGGGGGCGAGAGTGGGGTCTAGGGAAACTAGTATATTGAGCAGAATTCCTTCCACAAGAAATGCGAATGATTTGCCTCGTGTTACCACTTCAAGAAGTTCTTATTCTCCTTGGACCTTAGATCATCTAAGACAACGTTCTCCAGAAAGAGTAATGGGTGCTTCTAGAGGTTTATCTCCCCAAAGAAATGTTGGAGAGATTCAGAGAAGGCAAGTAAGCAGGACAATTGATGATGTCAGAACAGTTTCATACATGGGCAAAGATGTTCTTGATGCTCCAGGGCCTGTGAGTACAACATCTTTCGTTACGAAGTCCAGATTGCCAACCACTTCAGCAAAACCCATGCCACCACCAGGCCCCAAAATTCCATGTCCGATTCCCCCTCCAAGTAGCATTTTACAAAACCCTTCATTCACGGTATGTATTATTTTCCATGAACTTTCTGTTCTACCTGTGAATCATGCAACTAACCCCTTTTACATCAATTTTTCTGACTATATTTTGTTGTGAACGTCTGCTTATGTTCATGTATTCAGTCTGTTCTTTACCATATAACTCGTGATGTACTTTGTATAAAAATTTATCACGTTTTCATTTTTTAAACAGTAAAAAGAAATATGTTAGTTTTATTCTCAGATCACCATGCTTGGAAAGTCTAGACCTATCATAAAATATTTTTATCCGAGGTAGATAAGAATATTGTAACTTGTCTAGATCTTTCTACTTTCAGTTGACTATGGAACAAAATGCTAAAAGTTTAAGAATCCTCTAATTTTATGTTTGATATTCAAATTGTCCTTTGGAAACTATAACATCACAATGTTTAGGTGACAATCATGTTGGTATTTTTGGTGCGGTCGCTTTTAGTTCTGAACAAGTAGCAGTTGGGGTTTCTTTGAAACTGTATGGTAAGATGCCTAATGTAGTGGTATTACATTATAAAATTTCCAGTAGTAGGAGCTACGTGTTCTTCACAAACCCCTCTGACCCCACCCCATTTAACTACCTCTCATAATATAAACAAAGAATCTTCTCTATGAAAGATTTTGCTTATTGTTTCTTTTGCTCATTAAATCTGGACCATTATATGATCTTCCTCTCTGCCAGTACCTCTGCTTTCTTGACCTCCTTGATTCACACAATATTTTTGCTAACTTCCAACCCTGTTTTTATCTAGTACTTAATGTTGTTTGCTTTCCAGATCATGCATAAAATCTATTTATGTGGTCTTAAAGACTCTTTAAAAATAGTTATACACATACCTTGATTTATAAAGAGTGGTGCTTAGGATTTTCTTACCCTCCCCCCGCCTTTGGCTGGATGCTGTATAGGGTGTTGAACAACAAACTGTTGAAGGCTTGCTGCAGTCACTAGGGCTGGGGAAGTATGTGATCACTTTCAAGGCAGAAGAAGTAAGTGATCTATTGCCTTCAATTCTTAGTAAGGATAAATTCTTTATTTTTTGAAAGAAAAAAAGGTGTTCAGGGATGCTTTGAAAGACTAATCAGCTAAGAACAAAGATGCATATTCATTTGATATGTTATTTCTTCTTGGTAATTTGTTGCTTGTTACTTGTTTTCTTTTGTGTACGACAGTAGTTTAGTGCGAATGTAAGATGGTAGGATGTTTCTTTCATCTTCATCAATTTGGGATGTTTGGTGATTTTCTGATTGAAAAAATTATTTTCAATCATGATTCTAGCATCTTATCTGTTACATGTCAAATGATCTTGGTAGCATTTGGGATTACTCATCAGTATTAACTTTTGAATTCATCCTTTCTTGTTATATATTTATAGCTTGGTCCTGGCAGATGTTGTTCTTAATGTAAAGATGTCTACACACATTTGTCAAAATAAGACTAAACATGGAACTTTATAGAAGCAAAGATTAGTCTATGTTTTATGTTGCAAAAAATGGAAATCCAGTGGTTAGATCAAGAGACTTCCATTGTGGAGCTCATAGATTTAATCTTATGATGAGGAATGCATCTCAGATAAGTTTATAAACTTGGTTTTAAAAGGCGCGCCTAGGCGCGAGGCGCAGCCATGCACTGAAGATGCGCCCACCTGGGATGAGACAAAGCGAGATACAAGAGGCGCGCGCCTCTGGGCTTTAGGCGCCGGGCGCAGCGCCTTTCGGATTTTTTTTAAAGATATTAATAGGAAGTAGAACAGACTAAAAAAGAAAGAAGATAAAAAAAAGAATTGCAGTAGTAAGAGAGGAAGAAGACGGTTAAAGAAGTCTAGAAAATTCTTTCTTTTATCACATTTTATCATTTCTTAACCCTAATATTTGACAAGCCTAACCCTATAGCCCAAATTTATAGTCCAACTCTAATGTTTATTTATTTATAACAAACCATTATAACCTTTTCCACCCTTTGTCTACTTTTAACCCAAAGTATATGCTTTTTTTAGAAATTTAGCTATTTAATAATACATAATTAATTTTAATTTTTAAAGTAATAAAATATTAAATTAAATATTAATTACTAAATAAATTTTATTAAATATAAAAATTATTTTTTATAATAATTACAAATTTTAAATTGATAATAAAATAAATTTGTATCATTTAAAAATAAATGAAATAATAGCTTTAAATATTAAAAACATTAAGTATAAATGAATAACAGTGTAGATTTTGGTGAAAGGGATTAAAATTTGTTTATAAAAATAAATAAAATAATAGTTTTAAATATTAAAAACTTTAAGTATAAATCAATACATTGTAGACAAGTATTTTAGGAGTTAATCGGTGGGTAATGAGTATAAATATACTAATACAATTAATTTATAAACTTTTTAGCATAGATATGTTTATAATATTGTTTTTAGTATAAAATACGTTCCATAACTAATTTATAGGTTTTTTAGTATAAAAGTGTGCCTCGCCTACGAAAGGCGCGCGCCTTGCGCCTAGGCTACAATGACCTTTTGCGCCTAGGTGTGCCTTGCGCCTTTTAAAACCAAATTTATAAAGCAATGTCAAGTATCTTCAGACATTTGCTTACTGATGTTTCCAAACTGATTGTATGCAGAGAAATATCATGGACCTGAAAATTGGTTTTGATTGGAGAATTGCTTGTTTTGTGCTTTTTTTTTTCTGTATTCTCCTCGTTCAGCTGATCTGTCTATTGGGTATTTTACTCAGGTAGACATGACTGCACTGAAGCAGATGGGGGAAAACGACCTTAAAGAGCTAGGAATACCAATGGTATTTTACCCTTTTCTGTATTTGAATTATTTATTGTTAAATTTTTGTTCTTCATTTTCATAATTGATGTGCTGAAATTAATAACTGATCCGCATATAGGATCATAGATTTCCTACGAGTTAGATTCACAAAGTTGAAATTGTCTAGTACGTATAGCGCTTTCTTCATCAGGCTTCAATTTAAAACCCTTTTAAATAATCTTTTAGGATATGGGCACATATCTGGGAATGATTTGAGCACCCAAGTACACATCATAACTGTCTTGTGCCTAGACATCTTTTGCTTTAATTTAGATTACCGGCTGCGCAAGACATCTTTCCATTCATTTTCCGGTCACGAGGCTGCTTATCGTGACCGCTTTAAGAGTAAGCACTATGAAGTAGGAATCGAACGGTTTCGAATCGTCTCTGATGAAGCTGGTTTGATTTGCAGGGCCCGAGGAAAAAGATTCTTCTTGCTCTCTTGCCCCGCTCCAGAAGGCAGCCGTGATTTTTCCTTCATACTCATCGCTCTTTCGCAATGAAAACCGTTGTCTCTCTCTTTCCGGGACGCTTGAATCAGTTGTCAAGTTAAGGCTGATCAAAATATTTGTTGGTGGCAAGAAATTTTTAAGATGCGTAGAAATGGTTAATGCGTGTTGATTTTTTTTTTCTATCAATAGATTTAGCGTTTCTCGTGCATGCTGCTTACTTTTAAGTACTCTCAGGGTGAGTATTGATAGAGTTGAGTCGAATTAGTGAAAAATAATTTAAACTAAATAATCAAATTATTTAGTTAAAGCCAAAAAATGATTTAGTTTTAATATTTGATTATTCAAAATTTTAAAACTCAAGTCGAGCTTAAAGTTTGAACCTCTAATTCATGATTAGAATAGTTTAAATTTTTTTAAAAAATAAAAGTAAAATTAATTTTTTTACCTCTAACAAAAATAAGTAAAAATTATATCAATTACCATGCAAGACAGAGGTTATAGATTTGATTTATATAATTTGATCAATTAGTCTCTATAGTTAACCATTGTGCATAGTCTAATAACAAAATTTTACATAAACTATTTCATATCTATCATTTAGATTAAAATTAAAATATTAAAAACAATCAAACCAGATTATAAGGACTAGCTCCTAAGTTAAGTACATTACAGGGACTAGGAGAAGAAATTGATCTAAAATGTTGAGTACAAACGTGTAATTTCGCCAACTCGAAAAGGACGCTTTCACCCAAGAAATCCCCAATCCCGGTAACCTTATACACCGCGGTGCATTTTAGTAGAATACCCCCTAATTAAAAATATGAAATTACAATAAGACCCCCAGAAATCTCATAACCTGAACGTTAAAATAGCCCCCCCTCCCTTTTCCCTCACTCCCTCATAATCTATCATATGGCGAAAACTCGCTCTGCGCTTTCCCGGCGATCGGCATAGCAAAGATACCTACCGTCGGCAGGATACTAAAGAAAATTTCTTTGAAGCAGTTGAAAAAGAAAAGGGAAATCATATTTTTTTTCATCGGGAATTCAGAGAGAGAAAAAAGCTTCGTTTTTTGAATTATTTTCTTGGTGTTAAAGATTGAGCTCGTTCGGTGATGCGATCAATGGTATGTTCTGGTGAGAGAGAGATGGCGATGGGACCCCAGAGATCAAAACCTCTTCACAATTTCGTCCTTCCCTGTTTGAAGTGGGGAAATCGGAGACATCTCAGGTGTATGAAACCCGACGATGTTTCAAACGCCACCGACTCATCCGCCGCTACCTCCGTCGATGTTGATCAATACCAGCATTGTCGTCGTCGCGTCGTTCAAAGGCGCCGATCTCCCCCGTCGAATCTTGAGAGTTTGGTGGTTGGTGGAATGCGGCGGCGCGAATCGGAGTCGTCGTCGTCTCCCAGCAGAAAGAACACCGATTGTGCAAGAGAGCAGCGGTTGGTGATACCGAATGGAGAGGCGGCGGCGGCGGGGATCGTGGCAGTTAGGGAGAAGATCATGAAGGATCTTAAAACGGCGGCGGATGAGATCAAAGGTGCAATTTTTAGAGACGAAGTGTCCGACGAAGCAGACGACGAGGATGACGAAATCGAAGAGCCTAAAAATAAGCAGAAAGTAAAAGAGAAAGAAAGGGAAGAATCGCCTGCGGTAGAGGTAGAGCCGAGGCCGTGGAATCTCAGGACAAGGCGTGCCGCGTGTAAGGCTCCGGTTGACGGAGAAGTAACTAACAACAATTACAGTTCTCCGATGACGAATGAGGTGTTTAAGTCACCCAGAGTAAGAGACAAGGGACCGTCGTTAGCATCGGCTCCGCCCGCCGCCGATAAGAAAAGACCCCGACCGAAATTCTCGGTGTCGCTATCAAAGGAGGAGATCGAAGAGGATTTCAAGGCCATTGTTGGCCACCGCCCTCCTAGAAGGCCAAAGAAACGCCCACGTAACGTTCAGAAGCAATTGGATGTAAGTTTCTTCTTCTTCTTCTTAAATTTTTACTTTACCGATTGTTTTTGTTGTTTTTCTTTATTTCTTTATCCATTTTTGTTGTTTTATTGTTTTGGCTACAGTACTTGTTTCCTGGGTTGTGGCTGACGGAGGTAACAGTGGATTCTTACAAGGTCCCGGAGTTGGCTGAAAACGGCAAGGTAAATTTTCTTTAATTCAAAAACAATTCCACCTTCTTCTCTTCTCTATTTCTGCTAAATTCTCAGCAACCAAACAGATGAAAGAAAAGGGTCTAATTTAAGATTTCTGTATTATGATCGAGTCCAGATTTGTGAGCTTGACTTGTTGGCATTTTGACTTTCAGCAGAGGTAGTAGAAACGGAATTTCAACTTGCTACAAGGTCTAAAGAAATCATTCAATTCGAGGCTTCCGTCTGCCGTGTGTCGGTAGTTTTGTGACCGGAATTAATCAGACTCGTATACAGGGTTACCGAACCTTTGTGGAATAGGAATTTCACAGAACAAAGTTGAGTTTTTCTTATGTTTCTGGTTAGGTTACAGTTGCTTTAAGATGCTAATTTTTGTTTCAATATGATCGTCATTCATTTTATTTCTTTATCTCGAGCCGAATAATCTCGTACAAAGTAAGGTGACGATGGTTCTTCTGATTACAATCGTTGAATGAAATGCAGTCCTTGTCTTCGATTCTGTGTTGTGTTGTGTTGTGTTGCTAAAGAGTGCGCTCAACTAAATTCCTGCTTCTTTCATCTGCGGTTCTTTAACCTCGTCTTGGTCAATTTGTTTTCGATTAGGTTACCCGATACTGCTCCGGCCTTCTTCTGTGGCTTTAGCATTGTTTGTTTCGCGACTTGTGTGCTTGTTTCAATCGATGGGGCTTCTTGTTTGCGTCCGATACTCCGTTTTCGAAAACTTCGCATCCTTCTTGTTCTTGTTTAGCGTTGTTGGTCGATCATGTAGAGTAACAGGCTGCTTTCGGATTCAACGAACGCAAAAGAAATTGACCGTGTGCCTGCATATGCTGTGTTAGGCCCCAACCCCATTTAGGTATCATTGTTGCAAGTTATGGGATCTAATTTATGTACGAGAATGCCCGCCAAGGACACAAGGATGTTTCTAGGGTAGGCCGCAACCTACGTAGCCCATGGATTGATCAACCTTTCATCTATTGGGCCAATTGAAATTAGGGATGGGCATTTTATCTAAACTCGATGGGTTCTAACCTGACTTTTTTCGTTTAGGTTGATTTTATTTTATTTTAAAAATTCGGGTTCGTGATGGGCCGGATCAAAGATTTTTAAAGATTGGGTTTAAGGGGGAAAAAACGTTGGGGTAAACTCTGTGTTTAGTAAACTATCGGTTTTGGTATGTTTTAGCACTTAAACTTTTAATTTTTTTAAAATCATACTTAAAGTTTAGTTTTTGTTTCATTTTTGTACCCTCCTTTAAAACGTAACATTAAATTTTGAACAAAATTATAAGTTTATGAACTAAAACGGGTCAAAATTGATAGTTTCGATATTAAATGCGTTAAGTTTTTAATTAGGCCTGTAAACGAACCGAACGCACATAAACGGAGATATGTTCATGTTCGTTCATTTAATAAATAAACGAACACGAACATAAATGAACAATTTTTTTGTTCATGTTCGTTTATTAAGGAATATAACTTATTCATGTTCGTTCATTTAATAAATAAACGAACATAAACGAACACGAACATAAACGAACACGAATATAAATGAACACGAACATAAACGTTGGAGACCCTACCTTCCATTGTTCTTTCATGAAAAATAGTCGACAATGCAAATCAACCAAATATACAGTGATAAATAACGTAAGAGCTGATTAGCAGTGATGAAATGTTTGAAGATATCAAATATTTCGATCGATCTTTTAAAGATATTAAATGATTCACACGACTTTAATTTAACGCTATAACATTTATCTTAATGGTCCATGATTACATATGAACAATCATTTTCCACTACGTTATTCTAATAAATTCGCCGGCTAAAAGTTTTGTGACATCAATGTCAGATTTTAGTGAGGTTTGTTGATAATGATCATTTCCGTTGACAAAGTAGAAAATTTAACAGCATGAAGATTTTGAACAGTACAAATTGGACTCAATACAATAACATAGATCCGAAATCCCTTCGATGCTACGTATCGTAACTAATATTATTGTTAAACCACTATTCAAAATTTTAACGTACCTAAAGTCTACTTTACAACTAAAGATCACACAAGAACTATGAAAACAAAAGTCCATTGTCAAAGTGTATTTTCTACTTATTAATGAGTTCTTCCTGGAAAACCCATTACTTCCGCTATTACACTCTTTTTCAGAAATCACATAGAAACCTTTGTTTTGTTTTATGACAAATTCTATATATTTTTCTCTTTACTGATGCTCATATACTTCCGATTGTTACCTTTATCTTCCCATCTATTTTTAGAAAGAAGTATGATGTTTTCTTGAGTTTTAAATGTGAAGATACCCGCAATAACTTTACATATTAACTATTAAGCTAAATAAAACAGAGAAAGAGATGAAAACAGACCTGTAAAACTTCAGATTGCACTATAATATAACTTGTTTTGAAGCTTTCAGCGATCATCTTCACTCTCCAGTGAACACTAGGGTTTGGGGAAAAAAAGGGGAAAATAAATATAGGTGCGAGGTGCCTCACGGGTTAACATATTGGATTTAATCTCCAAATAAAATTGGGTTAATTATGGAGTTTGTCATCAGAATATCAAATTAATTAATATTTTTAAGATACTTACAAATTGGTCACCAAAATTGATTTAAGAAGATTGGGTTAAACATAAATGAATGAACATAAACGAACATAATCGAATGAACATAATCGAACGTTCACGAACGTAAATGAACGAACGAGACCTATGTTCATGTTCGTTCATTTAATTAAACGAACACAAAATCTTGTTCATGTTCGTTCATTTAATAAATAAACGCACATAAACGAACTTTCCGCCCCACGGTTCATGAACGGTTCACTGAATGTTCAGTTCATTTACAGGCCTATTTTTAATGACAGTATACTAAAATGAAACATAAACCAAACGTTAGATATAATTTTGATTTTTTTTTGAAAGTTTAGGTAGTAAAATGAATCAAAATTGCTAGTTTAGGTACTAAATATGTAACTTATCCAAAAATTTAATATGATATAATATAATAATTATCTTGTATGTATTTAGAAATAATTGCAATGATAATCTCTTCTATATAGAGAAAGGTCGGGTTGAGTGTGGCTTTTGACCTAAAAGATCAAATCGAGTGGAATGCTTTTAAACTCGGATTGAGTTCAAATGAAGAGGTTTATTATTAGATTAAGGATTAGATGCGGATGAAGAGGTTTATTATTAGATTCGGGTTTGAGTGGACAAAAAATTTGACCCAATCTATGATTATTCCTAATCAAAACTCTGAAATTAATAAAGTTGTTATATGGATTTATAAGAAACCAGTCCTAAAAATACAGTGCTTAATTCCTAAAGTAGGTACATATCCATTAAAGATCACATCCATCACCTTATATGATGGGTCTATGCCACAGCATCACACAATAATCTATAACTATCACACAAAGTTGCCCATCTCTTCCAACGCTCCACATTGCCATAAACCATCCGTCATCTCATCACATATCCAACAGCACCCTTCACCGGAAACAGCCATAGTTTCCGTGCCGTGCCCGCTGCCGCCGACACCATAACTTCCATTCCGAACTTGGTCATGCACGTTCAGACTCGATTGGTGTTGGGAAAATCGATCGATTTCCTCCGAAATGTTCACGAATTCCGCGGCGAACGAACCCGGAAACGTCGACGATGAAGGGACTACGCATTCTGGTATTCGAGGACTCATATCTCTCGAATGAGAAGCAGAGCATGTCTGTTTCTGCACCCTCGTCAACCAATAGTTCTTGATCGCGTTGTCCGTCCTTCCCGGAAGATGCTCTGCAATTTTCGACCACCTACAGACATAAACAAAACTCAGGGCCACATGTATTAAACAAATCTGCGTTAGATCATTGAATAAAACTTACCTGTTTCCCCACTGGGAATGAAGCTCAAGAATCAAGAGCTGTTCTTCGAGTGTCAGGTCTCCGCGTTTAACGTGGGGGTTTATATAGTTCAGCCACCTTAGTCTGCAGCTTTTTCCAGTCCTCTTGAGACCTGAAAGTGGATCAGCAAGGAATACATAAAAGAAAAAAAGGACTAGATTGTAGTTCGATAAGAAGTTTAGGTACCTGCACATTTTGCCAACATAATCCAACGACCAGCCCCATGATGATCAATGTAATGGGTTAAGAGAGCATCTTCTTCAGTGGTCCATGGCCCTCTTCTCACCTCACTGTCTTCCTCAACATGACTGCACATTCTCTTTGTGATTAAAGCAATGAAATTCCAAATACTTGGCAAACTCAAATTTATAGGCTCCAATGGCTATAGAGTAAAACAAGGCTCTAGGACTAGGAAAGCCAGCAAATATCTCAACTATATCAGTCCAAAAAGTGTTGCATATCTCCTATTTTCGGCACGTGAACATAAATCGAAATCATTATTCTTTGAGATCACATATTCGGTAAAATTTTATCACTCCGAAATATGATTTCATATCACGTGACATAATTCATATTATGAAGGTCGAACCGAATAATAACACCTATAGTATCATGTTACTGAATTTACGAAACCTGAAACTATGAACTGAATTGAAAAGGATATCAAGGACAGGAATAAGATCCAAGAAAGAAAAGATCAATAATGGAAGTTGAATTCAAGCATGAAGAACATGTTTTATTTTCATATTTTTCCAATTTTAGTTGGTTAATCTATACCGACGGTGGAGATACCTTCGTCACTTTTTTTCTTAAAATAGCATGCAAATGCAAGAGAGATCATGTGGCCTGGTGGTATAGACAAGGGGTTAGATACAATAATTCCCTTTCTATGAAGGGATACCATTCCTACAATAACAGTGACCAGGGCATATTTATCGAAGGGTAAATTACATAAGTGGTCCCCCGACTATAGGGTATTACTTTATTAATTCTCTCGACTATTAAAATTTATAAAACGGTCCTCCGACTATAGAGTGTTACTTTCTTAAGTCCCTTTACTGTTAACAATTACAAAATGATCAACAGACTATTCATTATATTTCAAACCCGTCCCTTTCCGTTAAAAAACTAAAGCTGAATGTTAACATGATGACTGAGATATGATAGCCGTATGAGATTCTAAGATCATATTTTATGATATCACAATTAGCATGTTAACATTCAACACAGAATATCATCGTTTTTTAACGGAAAATGACAAGTTTTGAATATAATAAATAGTTGAGTGACCATTTTATAACTTTTAATAATAGATGGACTAAACAAAGTAATATTCTATAATTAAAAGATTATTTTATAATTTTTAATAGTTAAAAGATTTAATAAAATAATATCACATAGTCGAAGAATCATTTCTATAATTTACTTATTATTGAAATAACGTATGGGGCCCTTGAGAGGCTTATATAGTTCATAATTTAAAGGGAAATACAGTTTTTTTCCGGTATGTCATCCAGGTTTTTCTATTTTATCTATCAGGACAGTCGGATTTTTTTATTTTGGAGAATATGATAAAAGTTACAGTGATTTTAAAATTTGTCATTTTGATGTGATAAGTTTAGTGAGACATATTATTTTAATAGATCCTCACGGGTGGAGAATAAATGGAATATATTTTTTAAATACGATAGAAGATATATAATTTTCGGGTCAGATTAATCGACACCCGACCCATGGTCATCCCTAGGATAATATCCACTTGGTAATAAAAAGGGATGACAGGTGTAAGAAAGGTGGGGGTGAGCTTCACCAAGAATTTTGCAGACTTAAGGGCTAAGCATGTAAAAGTAAGAAACAAGGGAAGAATGATTGTAGTTTCGAAGGCAGTGGTAGCAGAGGTTGAAACAATATAACAAAACATAAAGAATCCAATCATTCATTTAAACTTTAAAGTGATGGAAGGTGTCAGAAATTTGATTCACTCTACAGATTAACAAAATCGCATTAAGCAACAAACACCACCAATTTACCACTTCTCATAATTGGATAAGGAACGTAAAATAAAATTTAATTTTTAAGATAAACACGTGTTCATTTTAATATACATATAGATGTGTCGTTATATATGTATATAAGAATCGATTCACTTATATTATATAAAATTACTTTAATTTTATGTATTTTTAGGATAGTGTATATATATATGTAGTGGCATATCTATGTCCATGTTAGGATGAGTACGTGTTCACTTTAAAAATTAAACTTTTTTTATGTGTATACTTGATTTTACTTTTGGTATCCACTTTAAAATTTTATATTAAAATTTTATTCGTATTTATATGTATAAAATTTTTAATTATTAATACATAATATATGTCCCGAAAAATATTATTGGATCAGTCCATATATATATATATATATATTATACTTAAAAGAAATCGTTACTATTAGCCAAAGGAAGAAATATCTATTTAAGCAGCAGCTTTGCTCCATGATTTGTTTCGAACAGAAAGTTGGGATGTGATGGAAGGAATGATTGGGGGATGACCCAATTTGCTTTTTCACAAGATTAATACTATCACTCTATTGTCCACCAAAATTAATATCACTATTTGAATAATGTCAAACTAAATTGTTTGACGTTATCATCTTAAAAAAAAAAGTTGATATATTAATTAATAAAATTATCAGCCTCGGGAACCACCGTGCCGCAATCGGAGCCACGAAATGCAGCCACTTGTCCTTCCCATTAACCTCTTCCTACTTTTAACTTTCACTCCAATGGCTTTTCTCTCTCTCTCTTCCTTAGCCCCCACTCTTCCGTTATCCATTATTTAAACCCTTGGAACCCCTTTCATTACAGCACAGACCAAAACCAGAAACATCAGATTTGCTGTCGTGAAATATAAGAAGAAAATGAGGAACAAAGCAAGCGGGCTGTTGAAGCAGGTAAACACGGGTTTAGCCGCAATGGCGAAGGCCAAAACCTTGGCCATAAAGAGCAAGACGAAGGCCATCAAGACTCGCCTCGTCATCTTCTCCTTGTTTCAGAACAGGAAGCTTCTGGTGAGTTCGTTCTCCTACAAGCTCAAAGCCTTGATGGGGCGCAATGAGAAAATCTCCGATGAGGTAGAAGGCGATCATGTGAGTGGAGATCAACGAAGCCCGTTGATCGTTCTTTACAACAGCAGCAATGCTGCCATGTGGATACCGAGTACATCGCAGACCAACTATGAAGATGAGGAAGAAAAATACCCAGACCCCAGTCACTCGCTTTTCGATTCCGAAGAAATGGAGTTGGCCGACTCGGGAGCTTCGGTGATCGAGATGGTGAAGAACTCGAAAGAAGGTAGAGGGGAAGAGTTCAGGCTGGAAGACGAGATAGACCGAGTGGCTGACTTGTTCATAAAGAGATTCCATTGTCAAATGAGATTGCAGAAGCAGCTTTCATTGAAGAGACGTCAGGAGACGATGGGGACTAGCCCTTAAACCGTAGTACTAAATTGCGGTCTTGGTTACGGGTGTTCCGACATTTTATGTTGCGAATATGACGTCGTATTATAATGATTTTAAAAAACTTTATAATACGATCGTAGTTCAATACTATGTCTTAAAGTGTAAGGTACGTAAGTAGGATTTAGGCACTTCAAATCTGTAATTACTGGAGGAAGAAGAAAGACTTTCTTTGTACCCATGACAAAATCAGTGTGTATAATAACACAGGTGTTGTACACAGGTGTTCTAGTGGATACCTTGAGAAATAAAGACATCATGAGGATTGGTTTACTGGATTTGCTGTATTTTTGGGCCATTTAAATTTGTGCATTGTCAGTCCTATTCGGGCCGAATACTGGATAATGTTTCCTAAATCTGGATTCAGCCCGAGAATTGTGAGATTTTAGGGTAAACTACAACTAGGGTAAATTGAATCATTATCGATCAAATTATTGCCACTTTTCTACTTTAATTATCAAATTATTTTTCTGCAAATTCAGTCAATAATGTTATATATTTTCTATTTTGGTAACCGAATGAACCCTGATATTAGGAATGGCAAACATGTACAATTTCGTGTATTTCGCACCACACTCATTCTAATTGAGGTGGGGATGGGTATGCGTTTATGGGCGGGTGTAGATGGAAAAAGTCATACCTCATACCCGCCAAGTGTAGTGGGAGGTGATGGGTTTGAGGCCTTATTCGTCCCGCATTCATCCGCCCACTAACTACCCACCATATAAATATTGGATCATTATAAATTTAGGTATAATTTCGAGACTATTCCGTAAATCTTAAGGTTTTATAGGACATTACTTGTAATTTAATCAAATATTAGAGTATAAACATTTTTAGAATTGAAGGCTGTCGTTTCTCCCATCTCAAATTCTCAATCTTTAGAATGTACAAGTGGGTATAAGCGATTACAGGATGGGTGGTGGTATCCAATTGGATAGTGGATGTGGGGTAAATTTGTGAATGTACATACGTGGGTAGATATGAATTTAAAAATTATATCCATCATAGATGGTGGGTAGGTGGTGTATATGAAAATATTAGGTAGGTATGGGGATGAAGAAGGGGTATCTGCATCCGCCCTCTCATTTGTCGTCCTTACATGATAAAATAATAGTTTAATATTTTAGTCTCTCAAATTTATATATTTTACGAATTTGATCTTAAATAATTTAATAAATGTAATCATAAATATTTAACAAAATTATCAATGTAGTCGATACTTTAAATCTAAAACTATCAATGCTTAATCTCTAGTTGAAGTCAATTACTAAGGGTAGAAAAAGGATGGATTTGGTGGAGATCAAACCTATACGGCTATACCCTAAGATAACACAACACTTAATCTTTAACTAAACCCATTTATTTTCCTTAATTTTCACATAGAGTTAATTTCATTAAATTATTTAGAATTAAAATATGACGAATTTGATAATTTTTAAAATATAAAAATTTAAGTTTATCAAATTAATTTAAATTAGAGCTAAATTGATATAATATATAAATTTCATGAATTAAAACTATTATTATATCAGACTATATCAACATCTTCATTAAAACTTGACTTAAATTTAAAGTATAATGATTGAAATAAAAAATAAAATGTAATAATGATGACTAAATTTGTAAAAGAAAAAAATTGGTGACCAATAATGTAATTTATCCTTATTATTATTATTCTATGTGTTCCATTGTTTATTTCTTTTTGTCTAACAAAGATAGGCTTGAAAAGGATAAGGTTTTTAGTATTTGGTCCTCATTATCCTGCCGTGTCCAACTTTCCATGTCATTTTAGCACCTGTCAAGTGTCCATGCAAATTACTAATTTATTAGTCTAGGTTAATATACCCTAGAAGTCATTAAACTATATTTAAATGATTATTTTGATCATTGATTTTCTTAGAAAATATATAAATTAATCATTAAATTTATAAAATAATCATTAAATTTTATTGAATTATTACCGAATGATTGTTAATTTTTATAAATTTATTGTACTTAGGCTTAAGGTTACTTTTGGCCTTATAAAAGACCCAATTTATCATTTTTGAGCATATGAAATTTTTGCAACAACTTAACCCTCAAAATTGTTTAATCGTATTAATATTTAAAATATTTATTATTGTTTAGAGTTTTAAGTTATGATTAGGGGTTAAGGTTTAAGATTTAGGGTTTTAAGTTATGGTTTGGAGTTTAGAGTTTAGGATGATGCAATTAATTATTTTCGAGGGTTAAATTGATGAGAAAATATCACAATAGAGAAAATGATAAATTGGGTCTTTTATAGGGACAAAAGTAGCATATAAGCCTTATACTTATTATACAATTTTTATAATAGTTTTATAAAATATAATGATCATTTTATAAATTCTAAAAGTTCAATGAATAAAACAATCATATGGGCATAGCTCAATGACCTCTAATACACGTTACCAACTAGTCTAAGTGTCTAACACACTTGCACTAAAATTAACTGTAGTTTTACCAAATAGCCCTCCAATTTACGAAGCGCCAAATACCATTTGTGAACACTGGAGAGTCGAGAGGCCACCACTATCATCGGAAAGTCTGGCCTTAAAAGTCTTAAAAATCACAAAGAGTCAAGTCAATAAGCCACCCACCTTGTGTTTTTAAATAAATGGCCACCAAATGCCGAAGCTTTCTTCACCAATTGCCATTAACCTTTTTTGCGAAGAGATGGTCCGGCTATGGAAACAAGGGGTTAGAGTCGTTGACGGTGGTGCAACCGAAGAGTTTAGCGGTGCTTTTTTGATGTTGTGGGCAGCTTTAGTAGCCCTTTCTCTCGTTACGGCTATCCTGTTATCCTGTGCCGGTGGCGCTTCCAAAGACAAGGCCTCCGCTACCCATGATACGTATGGTTCCGCCTGTGCGGCCGGCTGTGGCGCTGGCTGCGGTGGTTGATCACTGAATCTTCTTTTCCAACACTCGATGCAGGCGAAGGACGGCGTCGGGCTGGACCGGCATGTTGAATTTTCTGTGTTGCTGTCGTAAATTTTTGCAGGCTTGTCAGAATTGGATACAAACATTAGTGCAGTAATGAACACAAGATTTCATTATTGTTTATGGCTCAACACATTAAAAGACGAAAATAAGTTGCAGAATTATTGTGTATATCTTTCTTTATTGTTTTATGACCTAAATATAACTTAATTACTGCAAGATTTCAATATGATCCAATTGCATAAGAACTAAACCAAAGTTAATCCAATTTCTTTAGAACGTGAAATCTATGCTACATAGTTCTTAGCACAGATGTTTTGTTTGACCTAGGGATGGGAATCCGACCAAAAAAATTTATATTCTTTATCCGATTCAAAAAATATATATCCTCCACCCAATCAGAACTCAATTCGAAATAAAAAAATATATTATTTTTATTCAATAAAAATAGTGATTTAATTGAAAAAAATAATATATAGAGGGGTATTATTGTAATTATTCCTAAATATAAGGTAAAATTATATTTTTTTTGTCGTGTATTTTCACCCTAAAATCAAATCCAACCGGACCTGAACACTACATTTAAAAAATACGACCCGACTCTACCCCAATTTTTTTAAAAAAAACAATCCGATCAGGTCGAAACTCATCGGCTTCGGGTCTCATGCCCATCCCTAGTCTGACCTTGTAACATCCTCAATACCGAGTTAGTGATCAAATTGTAAAGTTTCAGAATTTGGTAACTAAAGAAGAACAATGGATTAGTTCAATGATTTATTTGGAAATAAATCCTAAAAGTTGTTAGTAATTATTAGATGAATTAGAGGGCAAAGTGGTCATTTGAATTGGAAAGGATAAGATAATGATTTATATGGGATAAGCTTGAGAGATTTCTCCAGAAACTCTCTTTTCTTCTTCTTCTTCCTTTCCTCCCGTGTCTCCATAACAAAGGTAAGTTTTCTGATTAGTTGATTATTTGTTGATTTTAAGTATGGGTTGTGATCATTAGAGGATAACTAAGTTTAAGGAAAGCTTAAGTTATCTTAAAATCAAAAGATAAAGGAGTTAGAGAAGATTAAAGATTTGGAGTTCTTGAGTGAAATCTTGAAATAGAGTTTATAATAAGAATTGAAAGTTAAATTTGACTTGTCATCAATCTAGTTAAGACATAAGAAGTGTTAGAAGTGGAATTAACACATGTTGTGAAATTAAGGTAATTCTTGAATTTCATATGAAGGACATGATTTTGAGGTTTAAGATGAAATAAATGAGTACAGATTGGTTTAAGTGTGTGTACTGTAGTTAAGAATGAAAAAAGGGATTAAACATGAAGGATTTAAGTAAAAATGGATGAATTTTCGGGTTTAAAAAGATGATTATGGGCAGAGTGCATCGATGCACATTCAATGTGTATCGATGCATCAAGGTTAAATCCCAGAAATTGTTGAAGGTGCATCGATGCACTCATTTAAATTAAATGAACATCGAATGCCATGGATGCATCGATGCATAAGGAGTGCATCGATGCTCCTGCTTAAAATACAAACATCGAATAAGATTTATGCACCGATGCATGGGTAGTGCATCGATGCACCAGTCAAGGGATGCATCGATACATGGTGTAGTGCATCGATGCATACCTTCAATAAGAGATGGAAATAGCTTTCTTTTAGCCTAAGGATTTATAGTTTGAAATATATCAATTCGTATGCTGATAAGTATCAATGTATTACTATGTAGATTTAGAGCGTAATCTCATTCCAGAACAATCGAAGGATTAGAATCGAATCAAAGCAAGGCTAAGGTGAGTGCAATTTAAATTGTACTTATGTATCAAATAGACATTGGCTTGCGATGAGCCAGTGATGAAGTTACTATAGTAAGAAGAGACTTCTAAAAAATGTTATTTGAATTGTGATTCTTATGTTTGCATGAGTACATGAAAATGGGTACATATGTTATATGTATTGCATCTGTTACATGAATTGAGTGAATAAATATTAGTGTGATGAGTTATGTGAACTGGTTTAAGTAGTGGATG